TTGGAAATGCCTTTCGTGACGCGCCAAGTCTCTGAGCCGTACAAGAGCACTGACTTGACGTTGGTGTTGAAAATCCGTATCTTGTTCCACATGCTGAGTGCAGAAGATCTCCACACTGGTTTCAGGCTAATGAACGCCTGTCTTGCTTTTCCGATTCTGACTTTGACGTCCTCGTCCGTCCCACCTGTAGTTGAAACAGTGCTTCCTAGATAAGTGAAGGAGGTTACTTCCTTTAAGTTTCTCCCGTTGACGGTGATTGGAGTTTGTTGTTGTTGTTGATGGTGGTGGTGCGGTATCTTCATCACTTCTGTCTTCTCTATATTCACCTGAAGTCCCGTCTTCGCTGCCCTGCCTCTTCTATCAACTTGTTAGTTTTTGCCTTCAGATCTTCAAGTTTATGTGACATTAGGCACAAGTCATCGGCGAAATCCAAGTCTTCTAGGTTCTTTTCCGTGGTCCAGTGTATCCCCCTCTTCTCGCTCCCCACTGTTTGCTGCATGATCCAGTCCACCACAATAAGGAATATCATGGGTGATAGTAGGCAACCTTGTTTCACTCCTGTCTTCACTTCAAAGGCATCACTGAGCTTCCCATTGTGGATTACTTGGCATGTGGCATCTTCATACAGTTGTTGAATGAGGCGGATAAAGGTTTGCGGTACTCCGTAGTATTGAAGCAGTTTCCAAATTACTTCTCGGTCGACGCTGTCAAAGGCCTTCTCAAAGTCGATGAAGTTGAGGTATAGAGCTGATTGCCATTCTATGCTCTGTTCTATGATGATGCGAAGCGTTGCAATTTGGTGTGCACATGATTTGTACTTCCTGAAGCCTGCCTGTTCCGGTCGCAGTTTTGAATCCAGTGCATCTTTAAGCCTCTCCAGGATGATGCGGCTTAATATTTTACTTGGGGTGGACAGGAGAATGATTCCGCGCCAGTTCTTGCAAGCACTGAGGTCTCCTTTCTTCGGCAGTTTGACAAGGTAACCCTTCTTCCAATCACTAGCCAGGTACCTTCTCTTCCTTCCACACCTTCTGCAATAGTGGTGTGGTGTGAGCATGTCCGCTGTTGTCTCTGCATCTGTTCTCAGTGCTTCTGGCGGTATTCCATCTGGTCCTGCTGCTTTCCCACATTTCAGTAGCTTTATGGCGTTCAGGACTTCCATTTTCGTTGGGGGATTAATGTTCACCTGCAGTTCAGCGGCTGCAGGTGGTATTTCTGGACGAAGTGCAGGTGGTGGTGGTGGTCGATTCAAGAGCTTCTTGAAGTGGTCGGCCCATCGTTTCCTCTGTTTCTCTTCTTTCGTAATTAAATTTCCTTCTTCATCTTTTATTGGTCTCATCTGTGTTGGTCTCTTCCCTGATAGCAACCTGGTTATTTGATACAATGTCGTCAGGTCTCTATCTCTCCTACCTGCAGCCTGTTCTGCTTCACTTGCCAGTGTGTCGTAGAAGTGTCGTTTGTCTTTGCGTGCACCCTTTTTCACTTCTTTATCCAGTGTTTTATACATTGTGCTCAGTTCCTATTGTCGTTGAGCATCCTTGCACTGGTTTATCTTCTGCTTCACCATCCTCCTCTCCTTGCTCTATCAGCTTCCAGGTATCCGTCGAGATCCATTCCTTGTCTTCCACCTCCTTCCTTCCTAATACTGTTGTGCAAGTTTCTTTCCACATAGCTTTCAAAGACTTCCAGTGTTCTTCTACACAGGTTTCTTCAGGAATGTCCCTCGACGTCTCCCATTTTGTCTTGATGGCTGCCTTGAAGATCTCCTTCGTTGTTTCATCCTTCAGTTTCCGAGTGTTGTACTTGAACTGAGGTCTATCACCAGCTTCCTTGAAGGCTTTTAGCTTGATTTGGAAGGTTCCTTGCACTAGATAGTGGTCTGAACCTACATCTGCTCCTCTTCTTGACCTTGTGTTAAGTAGACTGCGTCTCCATTTTCTTGAGATTGAGATAAAGTCGATTTGGTTTTTAGTGTGTCCATCTGGTGAAGTCCATGTCGCTTTGTGGATATCCTTGTGCCTGAACACACTGCCTCCAATCACCAAATCGTTGAATGCACAGAAATCTGCAAACAATTCTCCATTCTCATTCATTTCACCTAGCGCCTCTCGGCCCATGGTTAGTTCTCTTCCCGTGTTGTCCCCTCCCAGTTTGGCATTCATGTCGCCCATTAGAATTTTGATATCGCCAACTGACGTCTTGTCCAGTGTTGATTGGAGTTGTCTGTAGAAATCCTCCTTTTTCTCTTGCTCTGCATTATTTGTAGGTGCATAACATTGTATGATTGTGACCTTCCTTCCTTCCTTTTGAGTTGAATGTTGCTGTCATGATCCTGGAGGAGATTGGTTCCCACTGCATGAGAGCCTTCGATGCTCTTGGGGACATCATGATAGCCACTCCATAACTCAGTGTGCTCCTGGTTGTCGTCTGGGTGACCGGAGTAGATTATTGATTCTCCAGTTGACAGTTTGGAGAGTCCACTCCCATTCCATCTACTTTCGCAAATCCCAAGCACTTCGATGTTATACCTTGTCATCTCCTTTGCAATCTGGGCTGCCTTACTGGGTTCAAACATGGTGCGGACATTCCATGTCCCCACGTTTACTTTCGCTTTCATCGAGGGAGAGAAGACACATCGGCCAATTGGCTTCCCGAATGCTTTCACCAACTGGCGTCATTTCGCCTCTCCGATTCCAGCGGGGAACAAGTTTGTTTTCATTTTTTATATTTTGTTTGTGCTTTGAAGTTTGTTTAGCGGTTAGATTTGTTTTAGGGGGTAGGGTTGCTAGCCCTATGCCCAACCTTCCCTCTTTACCCGGGCTTAGGACCGGCTAGTAACTAGTAAACTAGTTAACCAGGCGAGGTTTGATATTAAACTAACATGCTTTATATATTTGTCAACATATATGTGAAACCACTTGTTGACAAATTAACCTTTAACTCAATAAAAGACAAAGGAAAAGAAAAAAGGACTTTAGATAGGACTAAAAGTGAAGGACTCTTGGTCATACAGCCTCCATGCTACCGATCAAGCCAAAATATTCAAAAGAAAATCACATCGTAATTCGACTTCAGCAGCAATACAAGTGCCAGTAAAGTTTTCAAAAATATCTCTTTTTGAACTTTCTGGCACTGTACCTGAGTAAGTGGTGTTATTCAACCAGGATAATGCCTGCTTGAACTTGCTGACTTTGAATAGGCAATCACTTTGAAGTCTAACCGAATGTGTGTGAACACAACTCTTGACACAAGAATGACGCCTAGTTAATGCTTTCTACCACCATATACAATAAAACTTCACTAGCGTTAACCGATTACACCTTTGTTTCATTCAGTATTATTCCAAAAATAAGATTCTATCGACAATTTCAACTATTTTTCAAATAGTCTGAAAATAATTTTCTGGAAATAAAGTTTACAAGAATCAGGCACAATACTTGGGCAGTTAACAGAACGTATGTTACTGCATAAAGAAGATAACTTCAACTAGATCTATTGTTTTGCCATCACTTTGATTCTAGATCGGAAAATACTTATATTTTTATACATTGTCTGTAATCCTAAAGGATCGAATCTGCGCTCGTACGAATTACATGACAATCGAAGATACCTAATCCCATCAGTGACTTTCAAGTAATATCAATCTTCCTTCAACCTAGAAGGTGAAGAAAAACCACTCCTCAAGGTTCGTAAGGTCATTTATTAGAAATAGATATATTTCATCAGGATTAACAACGAAATAACTGTACAATATAATCATTGATGACATGAACCTTTTCTAATGATTATTTTCAAATAAACATTATCGTATATATTTATACTACTTGATATTTTTGTTAGTAACAACAACAAAAAAGTTAAAATAATTAAGGTGGTTCGGTTATTTAGTAGGTGCTGTGAGTCAAAATGATTTTTCAGTTGACGAATGAGAATTAAGTATGATAAGTATCCCTAAACACACTTCGAATTCAAACCTGAAATGGAAGTAAAGTTAAATTTTTAGTGCAATTTTAGCGAAATAAATCATGATACTGCATTTTTAATTGATTATATATTATGAGTTGATTCGTAGTACCATATAGCTAACTAAAAAGAGTTGGAAATTTATTCAGTCTACCATATATGAAATTATCTAGATGATTGAGTATATCAAATTTCTTGAAAACTCTGATTTTTTCAGCAGAATTTTGAAATCTCAAATGTTGTTAAAATCAGCTGTAGTGATAGCTTTGTGTATTTCCCTGATTCCACAGTTAACACAAAAGCTTTTATTGAAGAAACTACTTATTGAAATAGAAACAATCTCATCCCCGAAGAAGGAGGATATGTCAATATCACTTATAAGGTTTCTTCTTGGAATCGAATCGTAGGTATTACAAAGTTGTACAGATTCAGATGAATTTATGAATACTGGCAAATCAAAAAGCTATTACTAAAAATGGGTGCATAGAAAAGATTAGTTTCTGTGACTATATGACACAGAAATACAAAAACCATTGGTTTTACCGGTCTGTGCTATATATACCCATGTATATGGACATCTAAGAATCTGTTATCAAAATGACAACGTGATGAATGGAATGCAACCTAATTTTAAGTCTTGCTTTTGACATCCCCTACAATCCAAAGATTTCTGCCTCTAGTATATATAATTATTCATTTTAAGGTTTGAAACCAGATGGTGCTGTGGACAAGTAACGATGGGAAGTTCCATATTCAAACGAAACCCCGTCTCTTTTCTTAAGATTTTCAGTTGTTTTCCAACTGATATAAGTCTATGATGAATATTACCTTGTAATATACCTATTCATTTTAATAATTCTACACTAACATCTGTAGTATCGATTAGTTAGTTGAATTAAGGTCGACTTCCATTATTTTTTCTAAGTTATAAGGACTTTGAGATTAGTTTTAAAAATCCAGTTTTGTCATTTATTACCTTATTCCATTTGCGATATTTAACACGATAATCCGATTTCACTCATGTTCTGTAATAATATTTAGTTAAATGCAAAAAGGACATTTATCCCTTCAAAATTTGATCTTCCTTGTGAAAAATTTAAAGATCCCAAACTCGTAAAGTGTTTTTCATCTTCTTGAATTTTTCTCATACTTGAAGATTCATTGATTCCAGATATGCTTTTACTAAGAGAATTGTTAGAACTAAGCGAAGAGTGAATATTTACAACATATTTTGAATTCAGTGTATTTCTAAAATCTAACATAGGAGAAGTATGAAGAGAATTTCTTGTGCTAAGATCACTGTTGACAGACGTTGTACAAGTGGTGAAAGTCTCTGTATTCTTTCGTTTTGATTCATGCAATTCAGGACATAGGTTGCCAATTGCAAATGATCGACTAGCTGTATTGGATGTCGAAGCTTTATCCAAGTTTGAGGACCTAAAATGGATAACGAAACATTGTTTAGGTTATACTTCTGTTGATTTCATGTAAATAAAATGTTCACACACTGTGTGTGGTGTCGTCAATAATAGTTGAGTAAGTTGAACAAGTAAAGGATAAACTCGAATCCCTTTTGAAAGAACTTTAACAAAAAGTAACAAATAACGCTAAATTGGGATATTTATGTATATGACTTTTGTACTTATACATGGAACATGCGATGCAAAGTTAGTGTGACTAGAATTTACTTGTTTCACATCATTAGTGGTAGGTCACAGATAGCTAACCAGTGACTGAACACTTAAATTGTGAGCAGAATACAACTATAATCTCTGATATGTTGCAAGCTTCAAATAAAACATTTGGAAAATTATGATTAAATGAACGTAAGTATATAATCTATAAACCATATGTAAGAAAAGAGTGTTATCGAAGGAAAACTGAAGAAGAACTGAAAAACAAAATGACCTGAAATCAAATAACTTTTATTCATAGAAAATTAGGTGAACTAACATCCACTTTCAGCAGTGAGTGTCAAGACGATAAACAATAAGAAAAGAAAATATAATTTGAGTTAATTACTGTTGGTGCATGAATCTAATTCTTTTACAATTCAAAACAGAAGACCTGGAATGCTAGAAAACTGTGTGAATGCAAGTCTGCATAGTAGATTTGTGATCCAAAGCTAACATTTTGTAGTATACAATAAGTAGCAAATTTATTATTTGTTATAGGAAAAGATGGTACATTCAAGATGATGGACACAGCTTGCTTTTTATGAGCACTGAGGCTTTTGTACAAAAAATATGTATGTGGTGAATGATCAAAGTACTTGGTACGATTAGTGAATTGAAAATTGCTTTAGTCAAGTAGATATTTGTATTTGATTTCTTTTATGTACCGTAGAAGTCGTTGAAAACGTACTTATTTAAACAATACCTTTTCCCTTAAGTTAACTCTGTTCATTACATTGAGGTACTGCATAGTAATGAAACAAAAACTAGGAAAACACTGAATCATACATTTAAAAACTGGGTCCTAAACTACTCCACCGTTTCAATCAGATATGTCATCCATTTTGCCGACATTCTTATTCCTCGTTGCATTATAAATAATAATGACTATAGTCACTACAATATTTTCTTTTCTATACTTTTTCTTGACTTTTAGGTTATGCACGGCGATTTGATTGACGAAATTAAGTCTTTTGGTGAATCTGTAGACATTTGTAAAAGGGATAGACTAAGAGGAAACACAAATACTTGGAGTTAGTGACTGTTGCCTGGGCGTTGCTTTAGTATATTTGCTTGTCAGCAGTTGAACATCCTTGATGTAATGAGTCAATGTCATTCACACTATTATTGTTGCTTTGACCTCATGCAAATCACGGAAATGGAAATATTTTGTAAATTTCTATGTTAATTCAATCATTTTTCTACTTTTTTCATTTGATACGTGCTTTTTGATTTTCACTAATTTTTGTTGATTTAATTGCAACAGAAAACAGTACGGTATGGTGTGAAGTTTTCGGTGACGAAAACCGTCTGTTCTAATTTAATCATTTCCGCTGAAATCTTGTATGGTAATTCTTTTGGCTAGTTGTTCTAATGAAGATCCTATGAAGGAATAAACATGACATATCTCATCTACTCAAGGATCCATCTCATTTCAAGTGAACGTCATTTAAACAACCAATGAACATAAGAGAATATCGAAAAATTTGTCATAATTTACTCGTGTTTCTCATCCTTGTGACTACACAGTTTCCTCCTGGTTTTAGCTGAGTTTTCTCGTATTTTATTGAGCAAATGAGAATTATCCTACCCAAATGAATAGTCTTGATAACATTAGTAAACCTGGGACACAATACAATATCTAATATATATACATATATATTAAGTAGCAGTTATTTGTCTGGTTAACTAGTTCTCTAGTTACTAGCCGATCCTAAGCCAGGGTAAAGGGGAAGGTTGGGCTTAGATCTAGCAACCCTACCCCGTAAAACAAATATCACCACTAAAGAAACTTCAAAGCATAAACAAAATGTAAAAAATAAAAACAAAATTATTCCTCACTGGAATCGGAGAGGCGAAATGACTCTGGTCGGTGAAAGCCTTCGGAAAACCGATTAGCCAGGCCGATGTGTCTTCGACACTCTTGATGAAAACGAAAGTAAACGTGAGGACATGGAATGTCTGCATCCTGTTTGAACCCAACAAGGCAGCCCAGATTGCAAAGGAGATGAGAAGGTATGGCACTGAAGTGCTAGGAATTTGCGAATGCAGATGGAATGGAAGTGGACTCTCCAAACTGTCAACTGGAAAATCAATAATCTACTCCGGTCACCCAGACGACAACCACGAGCACACTGAGTTTTGGAGTGGCCATCATGATGTCCCCTTGAAGAGCATCGAAGGCTCTCTCTAATGCAATGGGAACCAATCTCCTCCAGGATCATGACAACAAGGTTCAACTCAAAACGAAGGAAAGTCACAATCATACAATGCCACAACACTACGCACCCACAAATAATGCAGATGAAGAGAAGAAGAAGAAGAAGGAATTCTATAGAAAACTGCAACCAGTACTGGACAAGACCCCACCTCAGTTGGTGACATCAAAATCTTAATAGGCGACATTAATGCCAAACTGGGAGTGGACAACACAGGAAGAGAACTAACCATGGGTCGAGAAGCGGTCGGTGAGGTGATGAACGAGAATGGAGAATTGTTTGCAGAATTATGTGCATTCAATGGTCTGGTGATTAGAGGCGAGGCAGTGTGTTCAAGCACAAGGATATCCACAAAGCAACATGGATTTCACCAGACACCAGGACACACTAAAAATCAGATCAACTTTATCTCAATCTCAAGAAAATAGAGACACAGTCTACTTGACACAAAGTCAAGAAGAGGAGCAGATGTAGGTTCAGACCACTATCTAGTGCGAGGAACCTACTTTCAAAATAAAGCTGAAAGCATTCAAGGAAGCTGGCGATAGACCACAGTTCAAGTACAACACACGGAAACTGAAGGATGAAACTACAAAGGAAATCTTCACTTCAGCCATCAAGACAAAATGGGAGATATCGAGGGACATCCCTGAAGAAACCTGTGTGCAAGAACACTGGAAATCTTTGAAAGAGATGTGGGAAGAAACCTGCACAACAGTATTAGGAAGGAAGAAGAAAGAAGACAGGACAAGGAATGGATCTCGACGGACACATGGGAGCTGACAGAGAGGGAAGAGGAGGATGGTGAAACAGAAGATAAACCAGTGCAAAGATGAACGACCATAGGAGGAACTGAGTACAACCTATAAAACACTCACTACACTACACTACACTACACTGGACAAAGAAGTGAAGAAGAGTGCACGCAAAGACAAAAGACACCTCAACGACACACTGGCAAGTGAAGCAGAACAGGCTGCAGGTAGGAGAGATAGAGACCTGATAACATTGTATCAAATAACCAGGTTGCTATATGGGAGGGGAAGAGATCAAAGCAGACGAAACCAATAAAAGATGATGAAAGAAATGTAGTTAGCAAAGAAGAGAAACAAAGGGAACGATGGGCCGATCACTTCAAGAAGCTCTTGAGTCGACCACCACCTGCACTTCGTCCAGAAATACCACCTGCAGCCCAGCCACACAACTACAAGTGAACACAAATCCTCCAACAAAAGTGGAAGTTCTGAGAGCCATAAAGTCACTGTAATCTGGAAAGGCAGCAGGATGGGATGGAATCCCACGAGAAGCACTGAGAACAGACACAGAGACAACAGCGGACATGCTCACACCACACCACTATTGCAGAAGGTGTGGGAGGAAGAGAAGGTACCTGCCAACTGATTGGAAGAAGGTTTACCTTGTCAAACTGGCAAAGAAGGGTGACCTCAGTGTTTGCAAGAACTGGCGAGGAACCACTCTCCTGTCCACCCAGAGCAAGCAAAATATTGAGCATCATCATCCTGAAGAGACTAAAGGATGCACTGGATTCAAAACTACCACCGAACAGGCTGGATTCAAGAAACAGAAATCATGTGCTGACCAAATTGCAACGCTTCGCATCATCATAGAACAGAGTATAGGATATCAGTCAACCCTCTACCTCAACTTTGTTGACTTTGAGAAGACCTTTGACAGCGTCGACCGACGAGTAATTTGGCAGTTGCTTCAACGAATATGCAGAAGAAAGTGGAGATGGATTAGGCATACACTGAGAAGTCCGGTTGGGGATCTCATGCGTCAGGCCCTCGATTGGAATCTAGATGGGAAGCGGCGAGTTGGGCGTCGAGGCGAGGGTGACATGAAGGAGATCTTGTGAGGAGGAAATGAAAGCTTGTGGGATGTCGTGGAGCCAGGTTCAAAAGATTGCAGAGAACAGAATGGAATGGAGACGTGCCACTCAAGCCGTATGTTCTACTAGGAACTCAAGGGACAAATAATAATAATAATAATGTAATAGTACATAATAATTTGCTCACCTGATTTTCCTGATCCTGAGGATGTGCATTTCCTTATATCTAATCATTTTCATACTTTTAAGGGATATTTACTGAAGCTTTCAAACTGTATACTACTGAGATGCAACAAAATAACAGATTTACAGTAGTTTTCATGGCGGGTTGTTATCATTTGGAGAACCGTTGAAAACCTAGAAACATGTGACACCTGTTTCACTTAGTATGGGACCCTCAACAGCAAGCATCAGGATATGATAAGAGATCGAGCTGTGGACTTTTCCAAACGATGTCACTCCGTAATGAATGCAAACTTAAAAATAAGATCCTCATTGATCTCGAAGTAGGTTTAACTTAATGCAGTCAGCTTGCTAACTGAATAAACCAAAACGTTTCTTATTAATCCTTAAAACTCACTGCTTGACTTTCTCATTTGACACCTGACAGAAACTGTACAGAAAATAAATAACTACGAATATTAACAATATTAACCATAAAATAACGAAATACTTACTTTTACCATTGTCATCTATCTGACATTTTGAATGTAAAGATAAGTCAATTGGACAATCTGGTTTACTTTCAACATGTAATGCATTAGACAATGAATAATTTTTGTTTAAATTTGTGTTTAAATGAATGATTTGTGAAGGTAAACACTGATTATTGAGTAAGTTATTTTCATTTTTCAGGGAACTTTCTGATTCACAGTTCATTTGTGTTGCCATGGTCGACTTAACAGACATTGTATCGTCCTTACTATTATTATTATTATTATAAATAGTATCGATCGATTTCGATGGTGTTCTATTTTTACTCTTGTTTTGATCATGATTCAAGAGGGAATTTGGAAAAGATCACATTGTGTCAGATTTAAATTATATACTGCATTATCCAAACATCCTGTGAAATTCTCACCTTCAAGAGGGAGATGATATGATCTCTCTGAAATATTTAAAAGTGGAGTGGAATGTTTTTCATCAAAATTATTGTTTATTTCACTTAAGTTGTTGTTTAGTGGACATGGATTAAATATAGGATAGCAAGTTTGTGGTTCATGAGGAACACTACCATTTTTGTTATTATTAGTATGATTAGATTGTGTTGGACAATTCAACAAACTTGGAAAATTTGTTCTATTGATGAGGCTAGGTAGTAAGTCATAAAACGATTTGAAAAGGGATCTGTGAATTCACTGGTCAAGTTGTTAAAATCTGTCGCATTAAAACGATTCAAACTATGAAGTGGAAAGTTTGAGTTGAAGTCAGACGAAAGTTTTTCACTGAGCCGTTGTGATCTGTTGAACAAATCTGATGGAAGTAAAGAGGTTGTTATCACTGAAAAAGGTGAGGTAGTCAAGTTTGGTTCGCTACTCAAGCTTGTTGGTGGGCAATACTTTTTGGGATAAGAAGCATCTATTTCACTGGTAGGTCCGGCACTGTAGGAGGTTTTATTACGTGACTCAGTCTCTATATCAAGAATAAAAACTATATAAGGATCGAATTGTTGAAAAGTGATAACCAATAAAGAATATGGGTTAACATAAATCAAAAATTATTTCTGAGTAGAAACCTTACTAGCATCAGAATGTAGATACTGAAACTTGACGTGGATGCTCATTATACTGATTTTGCGCGGGCGAGTGAGGATCCTATGAATACATACAGGGGAGTTCACTTAATCTAATTGGTAACACTTATTCACCACTCCTTTCTGGATCTGTCTTTCTCAAAAAGCTCGGTACCACGCCTGTCACTTGTTAACATTTGTGTTTACCCACATAACAGCTGGTGCGGCTCATTTTTGGCCAATAATAAAACGCCGGTATGCTAAACATTTTCTCAGGTCAAATCTACGCATATTGTTCTAAAGCGTACATCGGCTTTAATTTCGCTGTTTCATTTTTCGTATAGTGTTAAAGATCTTTTGAGAATATACCATGAAAATCTTACTATTTCGAGTAGAGTTTTGAGTTAATACTGATATTTATTCGGATAATTGCTTGTTCAGAGCATATGTATGCTTTAAGGAAGATGCACGTTTCATCTGAAAACAAGAGCTTCAGCAAAGAGGAGTGTTTTCAGTGACTTTATTTAATCATTTCATGACACGGGTTGTCAATTTGTACTTGGCTGAATCACCAGCGTTCATCACTTTGACATTTTAGTGAAAACAGTGACAAACAAGATTCAAGTTACTGAAGATTTAAACTTAGCATGACTACAGATACACTGATTCTTTTCGCGTCCACCTCATTGTCTAACCAGTCAACAGTTTTCTTTCCTGTCAGCATTTCGTTATACTTGTCGATCCTCAGATTATCTTTCGTCGAAGAATATGAATTCGGTTAAAGTTCTACACTGTCAAGAAAATCCCTGTAAGTCACGTTACCATTCACTTCAGGTATATCATCTATTCACATTCTGTGATATAAATAATGAGATCTAGTGTGGTCAGAACGTTTCCAAGTATTTCACTTTCTCGACTACCCCTTAACTTTTTTCTATAAAAGCAACGAAAAAGCCATAACACATAGTTTTTCTACCTTGGATGTTACCGAACTAGAGAAAAAATCACAATTGTTGCATAGAGGCAAGTTTCTCCTACTTTCTGGCCATCAGTTAGTATTCTGGATTTTTATTGATATATACTTCTACACTTTACGCACTAGATCGTACTAAGTAATCATTTTATCTTATTTCGAGTCACTTAACACCATACCATAACGTAAATTAGATAGACAGAACTGCCAGAACTTGTCGTTCACGGCGGCCTGTATGAACCCCGGGCTACCAAAATTTTCCACTGTGCAAATACATCAAATTCTTTCCATCAGCAGCTAGATGTTTCACGTTATTGCCCTCAGTGTTATTATCATTAGCATCAATCAGATGCAATAATCACTACTTATAAAAATACTATTCTACGAATGACTTTTTTGAAATATCATATGCTAAGAATTACATACCGAATCATGTATATTGTTTAAAATAAAGCGATTATATTGTTATGTGACCTGTTATTACTTACAGGCAGGTTATATGCTTTAACTATCTGAGTTTTCACTAAAAACACAAAAAAAATGACTTGGGTGAACCCATGGGTAGCAAAGTCTTTTACTAAACACATACTTCTTAATAATAACTAGATTTTATCATTTGATAGCTTGGATGCTGAGTTATAAGCTTCTACAACTGCCACTGATAATGGTCACTACTTCCAGCCATTCGAAGATTTTCTATGCTTTTACTTAGGTATCCTTTCACTTGGTCTTTTTGCTTGCCAAACCGTATTTTATGCACTAGATATGAATTCACACTCAGACGATGCATAACTAACAATCTGTATTCCACACGTTAAATCCTAATAGGGACTGATTGGTTTTTAGAACTAAATATTTAAATAAATGAGTTAATTTCCAATTTCATTAACATTTCGAAGATTAACTTCAGTAAATTTAGCATTCTCTCTTGCTGTTCAGCACTTGATTACCAACTGGTACAATGTGATAACCAAAGCTGTACAAAAAAATATCTAGTGTGTAAAGGTCTTTATGAAAGTTATACGATATACAATTTCCAACAGTAGATTTTCTAGAGATTTCTGAACCAACAAATAAAAATTTTCACAAGTGAAATTTCGTTGTCACTTACTCTGTGGAGACAAAGGACGTTTGGATTGTCTGCTTCGATTACGATTTGCCAGAGGACATCCAGAAAAACTAACGTAGGTTAGCAAACGAAAAATGGAAGTTGGCAAAGTAAACGAAAAATAAAATATTTGGAGATATATTTTTGAATGCAAAATCACACTGAAACGTGACAAAAGTTGCACGAATCACTTATCCAATATCATTTACTATGACTTAGTTGAAATTGGCTTGAGAATTATGATTTAAGTCAGCCGAATAACGAAAGCGAAATTTAAGTCTGAAACAAATCTAAAAGTGGTTAAAAACAAAGTATTTACCCTCAAAATCGTAGAATTTTTTAATAGTAAACCGAAATAGTGAATAATTCGGTTTATTATGAATAAATTAGTTCATCTGTGAGATGTATTTGTATTTGTTTCTTAGAATCCCCTTAACTCCAAGACCGAAAATTCATCAATAAAACCTAGTTTGTGTTTAAAATGCTTTAAAATGCTGTAAAGTCTTGCACAAAAAACATTTCAGTGGTAAAGTCATCTGATATTCAATTTCAAATAACTGGTCACTCAAACTAATTTAAGCTCTCATAAATATACTAGTTTCCTTAACCCTGGAGAACTTTAGTACACTGTTTGTAAAACGACCTTTCCACAAACTATTGGGGAAGTAAATTTTTCAAATATCTGTCGACAAAAGTCTTCAGTGTGAGGCGAATAGAAAATTGCCGAAAAGCACGAGACTTTGTTTAGTCAAGTTGTTTAGGGATATTACACATTCTGTATGGTTATTACAATCAACAAATTTATTTCTTTGATATTTTTATACAAACTTCAGCCACTACTACTGCTATTGAAACATTGTGCAACTAAAGGATAATCTATTCAAGTGTATTTCTATCCTAGGATTTGTACAGGACAGTCAACCTAGAAAGAGGACAAAATTAAACCCTAGAACTGATAAAATCTTTCCACTGAGTAGAGACATCAAAATATGTAATAAAGGATTCTGGGAAGCCGACAATCTTTCCAAATAATTCTAAGTGAACTACAGTAGAAATACTGGTCATCTTCAAATGTTAAGGAACTAAGTATTATTACTAATGCTACCATAATCAATCACTAAAAAACTAAATCTATTAATTGTGACCGACGGATAGTGACTAGAATTGGAATATAAGACGCACGTTTCGTCCTATTTGGTACTCGTCAGCTGGATGTCAAGCAACAATATCCATTAAGTGTTGTTTGAATAATATTGCCGAATAAAAACAACAAAAGGAGACGAAGTTATTCTTATCCAGCATAATCACTAGTTGCAGTGAAATTACATGTAGTATGGAGGTACTGACCACGGAAAAAGGAAACTGGAAGCCTTTGAAATGGTGGTGCTTTTCGAGTGAGTCAATTAATTAGGATTCAAAGTTGTATGTCTGCTTTCATTGTTTGTTTCACAGCACCCTCTCTACTTGATCTTCGTGCATTACACAATGGCAACTTTATTTCAGAAATTTACCGTCACATTTGTGTATGAATACTGAAAGATTGAAATGATTCCCAGTAATCCATTCACTGGTATATGCAAACTCCCATAAAAAGTTAGGTTACAACTACCAAAAGCTCTTCACTTCAATGAGGACTTTTCCATAGTGCTTATGCCAACAAGTTGATTAGGTCAATGAAAGTAAACATTGCAGAAACATGCTGAAAACTTCACTAAGAATCTATTGTCACAGCTAATCTGTAGCTATTTCTCTGAACAGTAACAAATATGCTATTTACATAATGGTGGAATAAAATTATCGATGATTGGGGAAAAGTTAAAAAAACTATCATGATCTGGGTCTGTCAACTCATTTGATAAAATGTTGAACCGGTAATCTGCATACAGCAGGTTTGAAACATTCTGTGATTCAGGTTATAATTTCGTCTTTGACCATGTCTGCAAATCAAACGATATCAGTCTACCAAACAATGGCTATCTTTAATAGTCGCATCAAAAACATTCTTCTGTTTGAATAGTATTTGAGATGTACACTTTCCATGCTATAATAATAATTCACCCCTATACTATAACATCTGCATATATATGGATTAGTGATAATGTTACATTTTTACTAGTAACGAAGAAATGTGCTTGTCTTCAGTGATTTTAGAAATAAAAACGGTAATAATCATAACAACCAACGTATTGTACGCTAACAAAACAAACTAAAAATGAAAATCTTCAATTTCAATGGAATCCATTCATTCTTTCACGATGAGACATGAAAGAGAAAATAAGAATTATATGGTGATACAACGACGTGTTTGCATACACAACTGTTTTATCCTATCACTGGGCACATTATTTGCAGGAGAAATAGTACCTTTAATGGGTTATTTTCAAAAAGTTACATTCCCTTAACAAGTGTTAGTAAAAAGAAAGTTTATCACCCTCAACTTGAACAAAAACATGCATACTGTACGACACCAATACAACATTCTGTCTGCATCTTTAAATGAGTACAAAGTTTATCAGTAAGTCAGAGAAATAAAAAAAAGCGGAGGAATCAGCACAGACTTTGTTATTCTACATAGTGCAGTGGAATCTGACTAAAATTAGGAAGCACAGGATACTAGAAGGGTAGCATTGAATTTATTTTGCAAACAACTTACTGTTTAAAAGTGAGATCACTAATGGACAATTAGCTACGTCAAAAGTTGATGAAAGGGTCAGACTGATCATAGAATAAAAGGCAATAATTTTTACATACATTAACTAAATTACATGTGTTCAGTAACAATGACAGTGAAGGAGGCCTACTCATCAACAGTCAAGTATAATATTAATCTACACCATGGGGTAACTTAGCAGTGAACCTTTTCGCATGGGTTAAAACAGCACTATTCTGTGTTTTAAGTACCTCTACACTTACAGTACTCCTCAATTAAATCGGGAGCCCTAAATGAAAAGTGATGCAGTTATATTTATGGGTGTACTGAATAGAAAGTAAACGGTTGATGAGTCTGAATGCTATTCTTCAGTGAAGCTGTTGATTTGTATCTCAGCAGTAACTGACCATTATGTATAGGATTTGGTTTTGCGGTTCAAACTGCAGTAGACGTAGTACTAAAAATAACTCTTTGCAGGTAAAGAAATACTTGGCACCAGTCACTGAATTTCTTATATGTCATTGAATGTTAAACTACTTGATCAGTGGTCACGAAAGCTTAAATTAATGAATACAGCCTTCAAGAGATAACAGTGAGAACAAATCTTGAATGTGTATCTACTACACAAGCCCAAATGTAACAATAACAATAGTCAACTACGTATACTCATTTGTGAATAAGTTTAATGACAGTGTCTAAGACTGTCTTTTTGGAGTCCTAGGTCTTCAATAATGTTTTTCTGTCCAAAAGTTATTGAACGATATTTGATGACATTATTTATATTTTGATATCTTTCTTCCAAAACTACTTTTAAATAACACTTATAGTGTAAGTGAAAAAATATGTTTACTTCATGAATAAAGGAATTAGAAACTTCCTAATCCACTTTTTCAGATCGTTGTTTTAAAGTTAAAATACCGATCTATTGATAACGTTTGAAGGTGAACAAGGGAAATTATCATTAATAAAGAGTGATATAGATACAGATAAAAATTTTCTCGATGTCATATACTTTGCATTATTCAGTGGTTAGTAAACTTGTCCATAGAACTATATATTCCATCCATTTATGATTGAGTATACATATAAACTAATTCGTTTTACAACTAACAAGGTTGTTTCTCTAAACAACTGTACTCCTTAGGGATTATGTCATCAAAATAAAGAATGAGATTGAACGAGTTTTCTGTTTTCAGCTCTCATTAATTTGACTTTGGATTAAAAACCATCACAAAATCTCCCTTGAATATCAGCTCCACCTTATTTTGTCTCTTCTTTTTTAGTATCATTCTACTATATGCTTCTAAACACACGACAAAGTAATATTCACAAGTTCACCTTTTTATATACACTAATGATGTAAATGACGCAACAGAAAGATATGATTCACTGCTTTATGAGAATCTCGTTGACAGTTCATAAATTATGTAAGAAGAAAGATTTTTATCACTCGCCCCTACTCTTTTTAATATGAAATGACAAAAAGTCTAATATGTTTGTCTTTTCTCAAAGTTCTATGCTCACTCTAACAGGTTGCATATGTGTGTATATATGAAGAGTTGAACACTCTAGGGAAATAGATCTATCTCTGGGGTTTGATATCACTTCGCTGTACATATAATCTGAATGTTATGTGAACGTGTTAATTTAAAATGAGTGAAGAGATATAAATGTGAAAACGACGCCAACATTTTCATTATTTTCTGTACATTACACAAAAAGTCTAAAAAGGTAGGACATAAAAATTACAAATAGATTAAAACTTCATATGGTCATATCTAAGATTTTCTACCAACTTCATTAGTTCTAAGGACCTAATTATACATGTCTACCTTATTCAAACATCCATCTTGAAAACAGCATCATAAAGAAGGTAAATAGAGATTAGGTATTGAGAACAGCATAATTTCATCAGGTGCGCATATTATTATAAATTCATTTCATCTGCAATAAGATGAAATTAGTTGTTACTATGGTTTATGAAAGATATCACTGAGGAACGAGTGAGTGAGTGATGAATGAGAGTTAAATGAAAGTGTGGGCCACAGCAAGACTCGAACCAACGACCTCCAAGTTACTCTCCCGGTGCTCTGCCAACGGAGCTAAAAGACACAAAAGCAGTTACCCTGGAATCATGGATAATTTTGATCAAACTGACTCAACCTGTCTATGGACCGTTTGATAATTTTGCTGTTGATTATACAAGTAATGTGCTTAGTAACCTGCTTAGTAAAGTACTTGAAGTTGTTCATACTTTTGAGACAATGACTTAACGTTGTCACATCGGATAACAATATTTGAATGTCACTAATAGCCTTCTGATGAATACCACTTAGTCTTTCATATTTACTTGTAGAGAAATTATCTAAACTGTTTCCTTGCAGTCATTACATCGAAAAAAATGGTTATACTTTTTAGTGGCTATGAATTCACATCTTGTATGCTTTCATGAAAACAGTTATGAAATTGAAGGGTTTTCGAAAGAATATAGAAATGAAGGTTCAAACTGGTAATTTGAACTAAACATTAAGTGGTTAATACTGGTAACAGATTTGCGAAATGGAATTCTGAAATGCTAAATTACTTGAATGGAAAGTTTCTTAGCGTTTTCTGATATTCAACTTTGTTCGATTTTAAAAATCATTTAATGATGAATTTGACTCAACATAAAAATAGTCTGTATGATTGTAATATATTCAGTCCTTCTTTAAAACATATTTAAGTGAGTATATTATCTAAAGTAAGACGCTTATACTTGATTAAATGACAACTTGGTGAGAAAATAACTCAGTGGACAAGAATAAAGGATTCTTCTTGAGGTAGCCTGTACCACTCAACTAAAAAATAAAACACTAAACTTTCATATACTTAAAGAGAAAATTAAGTGTCAGTGTATCTAGATTTATTCATTTATCCTATACTAACTACCGTAAATAACTTCTGTTTCATTAAGATTTCTGTTTTGGGGATATCTAGGAAGCGATAACGAAGTCAGATTTCTTAGTAAAATATTTGTTGTAATGTATTATGACCGCATCTCTTTAGGAGACTATTCAAATGATAACTTGCATTTCCCGCGTTTATAATAAACAGAATTCAGTTGATATTTTTCAGTTTCTTTTTTATTGTAAGGCAATCGTTCACTAAGCTTATAAAATTGTATATTTACAGATTTTATTAGACTTAAAATCGGCAGTAACGCAGAAGATGCATGTTCACACTTCTTGTAAACAGAAATTGAAAAGTTCACTTCAATAAGAATGAAAATATGTTAAAAATTCACAAAATAATTTACATGCAACGAAGATATGGCTGTCAAATATGCATGAAGCATTATATATTTTTATTGTGTAACATTCGGTCAAGTCATTGTGAAAAATAATCTGTCTCAGTGAATAATAAGTGTTCTTACTAAAGGAGACATGTTAAAATTCTATATTAATAGTTAATTTTTGAGCATATGAAGACTGGATAATTTTGTGACTTATTGCCATGTATTCAAGCTAGTTGGAAAGTGAGCATGGAGTCTCATTATAAGAACATGTAGGAACAAGAGGAGGTGCCTCATGGAAGACTCATTCGTCGTGTATCTGTCAATGGATTTAGTTTAAGTTGGAAAGTTTTGCATGAAGAAAGCAAGCAACTTACCATCTTGGCTAGCATGAAGTAATGCTGAGGAGGGAGTTACATATTATGCATATAATTGACATGGAATACTGAAACAAAAGGTAAAAACTGAATGGTATTTTTACAAATGGGTTTAAAATCATTCCATTTTGTATAGCAACACTTGTAACAATCTGTTATTACATAGCGTACAGAAAAAAGTCATAAATGCGCTCTAAAGCTTACTTATAGAATTCATATGGAACTTGAAGTGACATGGAAATGCCTGAAATTATTAATGTTGGCTACATCAAATCTTACGCGCTTTCATTCTGAAGTCGAGTTTACGTTTACACGTCGGACTATCAAAAATATTTAGTCAACTCATTGAAGATAGGAGTATATTTTATCCATGAAATTCCTAACAACCATACTCTGGACATTTATAACCACGATGAAGACTGGATTTACAATTTCAAACTTCACCATGGACTGAAGTGTATAAAGGGAACGTCTTGATCTTCTTTTTTGACTATGCTAATAACGGCGGGGTGTTATACAGCAATAGGCATTTTATCACATATTGTCTAAAGAGCAATATGATTTCATTAATAGATCATAACCAATTGCTTAGCAGTTACACTGATTGACGTTAAATAAGTTTTCAATAGCGGTATAATCATTCCTAAAATCCAACAGCATGATGGCTAAAAGAGACTGAGTATTAATTTAGAATTAAAAAACTACATCGTATTCACTCTCAGTGAAACTGGCTACGTAGGTCAAGTCAGTATGCTAAGTGGCAACTAATTTTTATCTCTGAGAGCAGCATACATACACAGGAGGAGTATATTTAGGATTCAGCCTTCATGTAAAAATGTTATATTGAGAAAAAAAAGATAATTTTGTTCTGGAACGTAATCAGAATTAAAACAACATATGTCAAGAGATTAATCATTTTAACAAGAATTACCTTCGGTGAGATGAACGATTATTATTCACATGTCCTCTTCCAGTACACCCTGGAGTTGGGCAATGTAAAGTTTGATGATAAAGAGCAAGTTCTGTTGACAAAAGAAACACAGAAAGGATTATGTTGAAAGTAAAATAAACCTTTAAACTAAAACAGGTTAACCGAAAGTCTACGCAAAATCTCATCAAGAGTGAAATAATTCAACAGTGATTCACATTGTTAACTACTAATATTGAACAACTTCAAAACTTTCGAGTGTTATCATGCAAGGCTTAGACATAACTTTCTATAAGGTGATGAAAAAAGAGAGTTTATTCAACCTCATGAGGCTTCCATAAACTTCTATGGAAGGTTGTATCATTTAGTGTTATACTGGTGTCGTTTCTTCGGTCGTACATGATTATGATGTAAAGCTTAGATAAGATGTTTTGAAAAGTTATCAGAATTCAGTAGTAATTTGCTTTCCTATTCCATAGTCTCCACCTATATTTTATAGCTGCTAAGCGTCCCAAAAAATAAACGTGAGTAGTCACGCGTAAAATTATTTTAGTACTTGCTTCTTAAGATTTCTCTTTTGGTCAATTGTGTGGTATTTCAATTCAGTCTAAACAATGGCTGCTGTCTATACATCACACGTTTCACAAATTTATCATCCCCATCAATGCACACTGATGACAAATTATAAAATAAGTCGGTAACACCTGTATGACTAGCGTGAACGTCGTGTGCAGTACCTAATTCTGCCACAGCTACACTTGAGAGAGTATGGGGACAACTTTTAATACATACCTCTTATGTGTAAACAACAGCTTGAACCAAATCAAGTATATATATATATATATATATATATATATATATATATATATATATATATATATATATGCATGATTAAGATCAGTGAAGAGTTTTTCTTCTACACATGCACAGACTAATTTCTGTGGTAATATGTTCTATGCCTTAACAACAATGCACATGAACACGAATAATGTAAGAACCGATAGATAATACCATAACAACCAAAACAATTTGTGCAATGCATACAACACGATATGTAATTTCTTCTACTTTATGTAAACAAGAGCTGAAATCAAGATCAACTGAATTTCTTTTTTCTGAAAAAAGATTTTGACGGAGATTAGTTACCAAGTGATATTCACTTCTACAGACTATTGTTTATGTATTAATCCTATGAAAAATTTGTTTACATTAAGTTTTTCTTTCTCTGTAATAATCTTCAATTTTACCACACAAACATTTCCTTAGTTAAATGTTTGGGAGCTTTCTAGGTGGTGTTTATTGCATGACTTATCAGTAGTATGGAAAAATGTGCGATGATGCGACTAGCGACGGAGACAGAGACAAACAGCAGAAAATACACCTAGATTATTTATTCAGTGTACATGTTTTTCTAATTTATCATACTGTAAATTACAATGAGCATGTAACGAACACAAGATAAACATACAATAGAGTAGTTATGACAGTATGTAGTGTACGATGCGAAAACATAAATGTATTAATGCTCTATAATGGCCTTATCCATTTGATTGGGTCTCATGCTTTGGCTTTTTCAAAACCAAAGTGCAAAAAGATTGAAATTCAACAATTTATCAAGAAAATGTGTGGCTGTAGGCCAGTAACAAGACATATCACAGTGAGTATTTTCTGTGAAGGATTATTGGATTTTGTCCAACACTATATTTACTTAAGGGTATGTAGATTAGTGACTGTTAGACAGTCAGCTTTCAAAAGTCTAGGGAACCTGTTATTCTTGGAAGCCAGGCTAAGTTATCATTGATGGCTACACGCCATGCAGAGAACTAACATATATCATGTTCACCTACTTCACAGTTCTTAGATATGTGTGTTACAAAAGACCGCATAACTTCATTTCTATACGAGGTATGATATATTCATAGGAACTGGGATCTAGCGTAAGAATGATTGTGTATAAGGGAAGAATTATTCATACTTTGTATCTCACCGCTTAGAAAAGTCTCTCTTTTATAAGAATTTTGTATTTAAATAGACAGCGTGATAGCTTCACTATTTTTATTGAATTCTATCCAACTTGAAGTAGTTAAGTGGTATTGCTTTCTAGTTAAATGAATATTTAATTAATACTGAGATGTACTGTGGTGTTACACTTGCAGCAGAGAGATGAGGTGAATGCTTGGGGTGTGTAGGCATTATCCCAATGACTTAACTTACAAAGGGTTGAGGACAAGTGTTCTGATCTGGGTGTTTATATCACCTGAAAAGAGCATAATAATTAATCCATCTTCCAATGACCTTTGCTTCAGCATTAAATGCAGTAGCAGAATGAATGTGGTTTCCTAATTATGAAAAATAAAAGCATGATGTATTCCCAGTGGCATACTAGTTTGTTAGTTGATAGCCACATCTGAAGATCAGATGCTCTGATACAATCACTGTAAAGCCATTTAGCGTCATTATATATATGTAATGTCACGATGTGACGAAAGCATTTCATTTTAGCTGACCTATTAGAATTATCACACAGTGGCGCAGTGCAATTTACTGGATTACTTTTCGGACCACAGTCATATCATCTTGATATGTATCTTGATGTAACTGTGGACATTAAACTGTTTCGAAAACATGATACAGCAAATAATGATGCTCCATGGTGTAATACATTTAACAGATCAACTAAAATAGGATTAAATTCTACTTCACTGTCCAAGTTTTACTCTTATATCAGTAATACAAACATCCCAAATTATCAGAGCTGGCTAGCATATTTCAGATAAGAGTTATGCTAAAAATGAAAATTCGCCTGCTTCAGATACTTGCTAGCGCCAAATTTACCTCGCTACTTTTTTTCAACGCTAGTGGACTGGTTCACATAATTTCAGTTATTTTTTATACTAATGATGACCCCATTAATAATCGACAACAGGAAGCTACAACCGCAAGTGGATATACAAAGATGTAATCATGTAAAAAGTGCACAGAGATTAACAGACACTTCATCAATGGTGACGAAACTTCACACGCTAATTACTGAAAATTTTAGTGAAATTATCCTCAGTCCCATGCATATGACCATTGGACTTTTCATTTTACTATCTGCAATTTTACTATCATGTTAGCCTATATGTTATTTGCCCCGTAATAGACACGGATACAATCACACATATTCAAATCTCAGAAAGAAAATTAGAAAAAACTAGAAAGAAATTGTTAGTTTGAAAAGATGGTATAATTAAGAGTAATTATTACTTAATTATTTCAGCAGGTAAAACGGTTAATTAGTGTGTCGCTTATTTCGACAAAAAATCGTTTAAATTAGATGGATAATCTACAAATATTCAACAAAAGGAGCGAAATTAAAAAATACTAAGTGACAAGCAAAACGCACCTAATTAAACGATCTACATCAGTCTGCTAAATGGAGTAATTGGGGTGTTTTCTGGCAAAAGTATTACTTTGTATTGTTTTTTATAAAGGAATGTTTGTTGATAAGGTTATCTTGAATTACTTCGGTTTGCTTGGCCAATCCTAAAGTAAAGGGTTAAGAACCATGTACGGAAAATTTTCAAGCCCTGGTACTTAATGAGCTAGTTTTCCCCACAAATTCATTCCTTATCTACTTACAAAAACGATATTTACTTAGGCTACAATATATCACCGGTCGGAACAGAATGATCTGTATGTGATTGATACCACATAAACCCTATTTTGTATCTATGTCTATATAATTTATAGTTATTTAACTGTAACGATAACAGTGACAGCTTGCTGTGAATTACCTGAATCTGATCAGCTAGATCTATTGCGTGTTACTAATGATTTTCAACAACCTTAGCCAGCCGCTGTTCCATAGCCTAAAACACCATAGGGTAAAACTGCATTATGTGTGCAATGAAGCTTCATTCCCCAATCTTTTTCGGATAGTTCGTACTAGTTTTCTTCTATTTAACTACTGTAGGCTCTTACCGATTGACAAACTCATTTGACCTGGATTTTTTCGTAGGCATGCTTGAAAAATTAAGGCAGATGAAAAAGTTATTAATAAAAAGTATACACTTTCTGGGTGATCTTGACATCCCATTTCTTAATAGAAAAGTAAAAGTAGGAAATCAGTTTATTGCAGGTGAAAAGTGTTAACGGAAATGATGAATAGTAACTAGCGATGAAATCCAGGTCACGCGTTCCATCCCATTTAGGACTCGTCAGCTAGACGTACCCGCCTCTAAGACTTGGACCCAGGATCAATAGCTTCGAACACCGCGTCACCCACTAGACCGCTGAGTCACGACACTTACCCCTTGAGCATCAGCTCATAGGCCAATTGACGTAGATTATTTCGGTCCAATAAACGATGGAAAATAACAAGCAGTAACATAAATTTGTTTCACAAAAGTTAGTGGATTATAAAAGAGTTATTTGGAAAATTTTAAAGCGAAACATCCTTTTCTCTATTTTGCATTTGAGGTGACTGTTTTATTCATATACTTTTCTGACAGAAAGAACCAGAAGTAAATCGGAGCATCAATATCACCAAATTCAGTAGGAACAGGTTTTCTTAGAACCAATTTTTGCAAAACAATGCTACATATATCCTCATCTTTTTTGACTAAGTGAGTGATGTATCAGGATAAAATTCATTCTTGAATTTATAAATAGGCTGTCTTATTTGAAGTCTGACGAAAATTACTTCATGATCGCCTATCATAAAATAGTTAGTATGGCTGAACTTCATTTTTAACAAGTGAATAAATATGTTTGACCAAAAGTTTTTAGGTAGATGGCACTTACATAACAAATTATTCACTTTGTAAGATCACTGAAACACTACATTTTGAACACGATATACACTTCATACATTCCCTTTGCTTAGTTTTAATGATCATCCCTATTACTGGTAATCTCTTTCTCAAGATGTGTGCCAACATTTACAAAACATAGAGAGTAATACATTTTTCCCAATCTAACTAACTGTAAAGTGAAACAAAAATGTGAGGAAAAGGGTAAGCGAGCTTGACTATCACTTATTTCTACTTGTGTGGTGAAATTTCAGGCAAACGGTTGTGGATTATAAATTTATATATCACCTAATACACACGTGAACTTAGTTAATTAGTTCTTGAATCCCTACATCATGCATAAACAAGTATTATTTAATCCTTTTACTCACGTTACAGCTAATTATCATTACTTGTTACTGCTGTTTTATTGTCTTAACTTTACTTGGCTGAAGCATATGTATTTAGGTTCTTTTTCAGTTTCTTCATTGCCTCTACTAACAGAGAGAAGAGATCAAATGAGACATAATCTCATTTGCATCTTATTTGATGAGGATGGTTTTTCCTATGTCAGAAAGTAGTTTCGAAATCGTGTTACCGTTAAATCAGTTGTTTCTAGCTTTTCGGATTTAAATCATTCTCGTCTGCCAGTAGAAAGGTTATAATCGCATTTGCTTAAAGAATAAATAAATAAATCTAAATGCTTCTTTCGAAGAATCGACATTTATTTAATTCTGAAACATTTACAGACTTAAATTCTGCTTCAATATACAAATGTAAGAGTAGTGACCGTTCTTTTATAGTTGGAGTATTCACTGGTAAATATTACATCCAGCAACTAAATTAAAGCTCAAAAACGTTTGTGATATTTTGGGAAGTTTGTAGCTCAGGATGAGGATGATAATTGATGGAATTCTCTAAACTTCAGAGCTTCTTACTGCAAGTTTCACCACAAGGTTTGACAACTTCAAACATCGGAGAACTATAAACAATCATCACTTCAAAAGTTATGTAGTAGCCAGCAGGCGCAACTCATTGCTGCAGTCATAGACGAGACCACTGAGCTATTAAGGCAACGATTGATCTTCTAAACTACATGCATTATTTGGTCACCGTAAGATAAGCAACTTCATGTCGTCTATTCCTATGTGCTGATAGAATTCTGTCTATCATTTTGGAATGTGGTCAACAGAATAGGAGACTCATCATCACGGTGCGGCAAGACGGTCGTCTACTAGTCTGGTGGCCACATTAGAAAATGATCAACAGGATTCTATTGGAACGAATGACTAGACAGCATGGAGTTGGTTACCCTCCAATGGCCAGTCACAATGTACATTACCAGTGTATCCATATTGTATGCAAACTGCTCTACATTACGACTACAGCAATTTGTGCACGCAAGGAAAAGTAGGAGATAATATGTCTAGAAGATAGGTACACGTGCATTCCATTTTTCGAAACTCTTAGTTCCGACTAACTGCCCATATTTAACAAAGCTGGATAACGTGTAGTGAATAATAACTACAACAATATTATAGGTGAATAGCATGACTAAAATGGAATGTCAAAGTAAAGGAGTAATTTGAGATTTACTTCAATCCTGAAGCAAGCACTTTTTTAAAGCTTTCTAAATCTCTGTGGCGCATAGTTAATTCATGAGAAGAGGAAGAGAAAAATTGATAAATTTTATTTTCTTCCGTTACTCAAGTTTATAAAGATAAAAATATATAGATCAAATACTGAATCCAGATAGATTATAACACTTTGCCTTTATATATATATATATATATATATATATATATATATATATATATATATATATATATATATATATATATATATATATATATATATATATATATAATTGAATTCAAACTACAAGTCTTCTTTTGAAACGCGTATCATCGAGTAAATTTTGTAAACGTAGCAGGATTTCCATCAGTTAATCACAATATTGAAAATGTTGTGTTGTTTATAAGACTCAAATGATAAAGCAGACCTATACCTCTAGAAGGAAGTGTTTTGTCTATAGGGGAGTGATATTTCGCATAAGTGGCGCAATTTCAACCAAGTTGAAGAGAGTGCAACTTTATTATGGATATGACTTGATTTTCAGTATATGCTAACTAGTCAACTTCAACTAAGAAATATGTAGAGATGGATGTTATCTAGCAGTGGAATCCAGGATCAGCATTTCGTCCTATTTAGGACTCGTCAGCTGGATGTACCTGCTTCCGATTAATTCGGTCCAATCAACCACGGTATAATACAAGTAATAACACTAAGAAATATGCTTTAAGAATTTCTATCCTGTAAATTAGAAGACATGAGCGAACAATACTGTTTTCAACTAGATCCTCTTCAAGCTTTACTCTAATACAAAAAACCTAATATATTTTAAAACATTTATCACACCAACCGACAAATCTACATGACTGGTTTAATAACATATATATATATATATATATGTATATATATATATATATGTATATATATATATGTATATATATATATATATATATATATATATATATATATATATATATATATATATATAAAGCTATTTGTATTAGAGTAAAGCCTGAAGAAATATGCGTTGTTTTCAATTTTATCAACGGACTACTGATTTTCATTGTAACTTGTTACCTGAACAATCAACAATGGGTATAAATCGTATTTAGTCTTTTTTGATTTTTCTGATACTAGCAACACTAAAAGATGGTGGTGTATATTCTTATCGTTTATCCCTTCAACATCTATGAGATTTTCGGAAAATTGCAACCCAGAGTCATTCATTAAATGACTCCTTTTCTGCAAAAACAAAAGTGTTCGAAAGAAACAGTCTCATCATCACGGGCTTAATTATAATTCAACTACTGTTCTTTTAACTCATATATTCATATTGTGTGAACTAACTATCTGTTAGGGATTCTTTCAGCAAAAATACTAGAGTATTACTTTTCATTTTATTGCTTTGAAAAGAAATGAAGTTGAATAATTTTCGGTTAAAAAAAACTGAATTGCATTTTACTCTCATGCAAAAAGATCTGTTTTGTTATCTTATCCTACACTAACATATGCGTAAATCGCTGTTTATTTTTTCACTGAAGAATTTGTAATATCCATTCTTTTAAAGTGAATATTTATTTGTCGACATGCAGCTCTTTTGATTCTCATTTACGAGTGCATGTACACTTTACATATGGATGAATATATTTCTGTCAAGTGATAACGATATAAGTATAGATTTAGATTTAGGCCGAGAATCAAAATATACTAAACATGTGGTAATAGTTCTGTAGAGTTTTGATAGGATTACAATATCTTTGGTAATTTTCTGTCGATCACTAACCTCTCCTATCATTCTATGATGAGCAGGAACACAGTCTTGTAAATTAGTCGCTCAGCTTCATATCATTGTGATTTACATGCACACAAGTTACATATATACAGACTGACACAAGTGAAGAAATCAAAACTAATCAACAAGATATCTACACTCTTATACATGCACTCACATATAAACTCGCTACTGATTAAAGCTGGTTTGAAGACTAGTTAAATGGTTACAGAAATGAAATAGAGTCGTATTTCCATTTTGGAATTATTTTCATTGTGAAAAAATTAGTTTTCGTCTACGCTTAATCCTTTGATTAGTTTTTAATAACTAGTAGAAATTTCCTTCGTATGTTTTTGTCTGTCTACTTCCTTCATATATATATATATATATATATATATACCACCATTAAAAAAGATCTGAAACAAAGAGCGAAAATTATTCATTATTTATTTACGAAGGGTGAGAAAGCGTTTTAATCCTTACCCACTAAGTTGCCTGAGAAATGCACAAATACTTTAGTCTTACACACCACCACTGATAATGAGAGTAGCAATATAAACAGGTGCATATACTTATCAGGATAACAAGTAGAATTTCAAGACTTTTACGGCATTTGTTTTGCTGAGTAGGCGAAATCCTTTTTTAACTTAATGGAAACGGTTGTCTAGTGGCAAGATTTTTGTGCTTCTTTCTAACGTTTTGCTTTATTTTGGATATTTATGCACTTTATTGTCAAACTGGAATATGTTTCTTTTCCCGCTTAATTATACTAGGAATTTTTCCCAATGTGTGACTATTTAAACTAGACCGAATCATGACAGATTTAACCTGGTTTATATGCCAGTTTCTTTGTTTCTTAATTCTTTTTAGAAAACATCTGTATTACCAGATAAGTGAATGATCTAGATGCTGACTGTAGAAAAGTGAAAGGTACTGGTGGTGGGGAAGGGCTCAACCTCTAAT